CATAGCGGGTCTTGCGGTCCTTCAGCAGCAGGAAGTACAGGCTGCCATCCTTGGCAGCCACGCGAAACGGCCCGCACAGGTCAATGTGACGTCGCCAGGGCGTCCTCGTCGTCGGACCCTTTGTCGGGGAAGGTGTGCCGCGCCAGCTTCCCACCGACGCACGAGACGCAAGGCGAGGCAGCGACCGGACGCCGACTTGAGGTCCAGCCCGGTGGCGACCTCATGCTTCGCCGAGCTCCGGATAGTGTCCATGCCGACGTGCGCGAGCCTCGCGTGGAGCATCTCTGGCGTCGCCTTTGTCGCCAAGACGATTGCGCGCAGAGCCACTTCCTCCGCTGCAGTCGTCACCGAGCAGGGACGCAGGTCGGTGCAGAGAACCCGGCCGGAGTACGTTGCTCGACCGAGCACGTCGCCCGTCGCCGAGACGAGCAGCATGCCGTCGCCGTCCTCCTTCAGCTTCACGCCGTGCTCCTTCAGCTGGCCAGATGACAGCAGGTTCGCGTGCACGCCCGGGACGTACAGCACGTCGGGAATGAGCACCCGCTTCCCGGCCTCCCCTTGCAGCGCAACCGTGCCCCGTCCCTTGACGTCCTGCAGCGCCCCATTGAAGCCACGTACGTGCTTCACGTCGCCGCTCGGCCCCATGTCGACGAAGACCTCCTTCGTCCCCATCAGGTGATGGGAGTAGCCACTGTCCAGCAGAACCACAGCCGGGTTCGCCTGCACTGCTGCTGCCATCGCCTGGAAATCCTCACCGGCCTCCGGCGCCAGTGAGACGGTCGGCTCCACGACGCCGACCAGAGAGCACGACGCCGACTTGTCGTTGCTCCCCTTGCCGCCAGCAGAGGAGTCGGCGTCCTTCGCCGAGGTCGACGTCTTGGTCGACTGCTTCTCCTTGCGCGGCAGGTTGCTTCGACGTGGACGACGGCTGGCCGACCTCCCGCGGCCTCCCTTGGCGTCGTCGTCGTCGGATTCGCTGCGGTCGGGACACTCGAAGGAGAGGTGGTCGGGGCTGCGGCAGATCCAGCATTCCCGACGCCGACTTCCTCCTCCACGACCGCCTTCCTTCGCCGACTTACCCTTGTCGGCGTCCTTGGCCGGCTTCCCACCTCCGCTACCACTGCTGCCAGGCTTGCCGCACTGCCCTGGCCGGCCGCCTTGCTTCGCCGGGGCGGCGTAGTTCACCTGCGCCAGAAGCTCCTGCGACCGCTCGGCCTCCTGCATCGCCTCGTCCTGCAGGATGTACGAGGTCAACGTGTCCTCGTTGAGCGTCGCCCGCGTGCTCGGCGCCATCGACAGCCGCTTCAGCAGGTTGTAGCTGCTCGGGAGCCCCTGCATAACGTGGGTAACGTAGGACGCCGTGGAGTACTCCGCACCGGCCATCCTGATGGTGGCGAGAATTCGCCGGGCCCGGTTGCAGTAGTCGGTCGCCGTCTCCTCGTCGCCCATACGCAGGTGCGTCAGCTGCCCCTCCAGCTGGGCGATGAACAGGTCATCGGTGTCCTGGTACGTCGACTCGATGAAGTGCCACGCCTGGTGCCCGGCGTCCAGGTACTCCCTGCACCACTTCAAGGCGATCTGCACGCCCGGCGTGCAGCACCGCGAGATGACCGTGAAGGTCAACAGCTGCACGGCGCGGAACTCAGCTCGCAAGTCGGGGTCGTCCGGCGTCTCCACGGTGCCTCGAGCGAAGCTGATCAGCCCGGCCATCTCCAGCTGGGGCTCGATGGCCTCCTTCCAGGTGAGGATGTCTGGTCGACCGACCAGCGGGGGAGTCACCGAGATCCTGTCCGGCGTGAACTTGTAGTAGCCGTAGCTCGGTGCAATTCCGCCCGCCGTCACCTGGGACGCCGCCATCGGCATCAACCCGCTTCGTCGACCTCCGACGTCGCCCTGCGAGGTGCCTGCAGCCGCAGGCGACCGCATCCCTCGCGCCTGAACGCCGCCGACTTCATCGGCGTGAATCACACCTCTCTGCCTCGATGTGCCTCCCGCACTGCTGCCGACTTGGCCGCTCCCGGCATTGATGCCCACGTCGACGCCGCCCTCGGTGTTCACCGGTCGAGGAGAAGCAGGCCGAGAAGGGTGCTCCGACGCCCACATGCTTCGGAGCCCGGCCTCGACGACCGCCCACGGCAGGTCGCCGTACTCGTTGGCCTCGTGCTTTCTCCTCGCGTTCTCCAGCCGTGCCTCCAGGGTGTCCACCACCCCGGCGTCACCTACGCCGCCTACCATGGTGACTAACGCACAGCTGCCGGCCTACGAACACAATCGGGAAGTGCAAAGTCGGCTAGACTGAACTACGTCGCGTGTTCGTTCGACGCTCACCGCACCATGCGGAGATAACTCTAGCAACGGGAGCTTGACTACGGGGAAGGCACGTGTGTGAGAGGTAGCTCTGCGTTCGTTCACTTAGTCGTTTGCTCGTGTGTTCTCTGCTTGCACATTCACGGGGAGATTTTGCAAGAGTTTCACTAGCAAAGATTGACAACAATGATGATAACAACGTTGGCAACACAGACTACATCAGAGCTAGCTAGGCTGCTGGTCGACCTCCAGCGCAGCACAGTCGACCGCGCTCCAGAGCAGCAATGCTCGCACCGCTCCAGCGCAGCAGAGATGCGGCGCGCCAACGTTGCATGTCCACGGTGTGCCAGCGCTGCAGCAAGTCGGCTGCACAGCGTTGCACCCGCAGGACAACAGTGCACCTGCTTCGCAGGTGTGCACAGCTGGTTGGCGCTCCACGCCTTGTCACGAGCACAGCGCAGACGCCTAGATCGAGCCCACGCCAGCGACTGCGCCCACCAGCCACGTCGACCTCGGGATACCACCCCCGAGGTCGTCCTCGCAGAAACGTCCCCGGCGACCTTCGTACACGTCGCCCGGGTATCCCGGTCGACCGGGCAACCCTGCCTGGTCGTCCAGCCCTGCCAGACGCCGACTACGCCAAGCCCGGCGTCCCCAGGTCGGCGTCCTGGCGTCCAGGTCGGCGTCCACTCGCCCAGGACGCCGTCCAGGCGCCCAAGTCGGCGTCCAGACGCCCGGGACGCCGAGCAAGCGCTCAGGTCGGCGTCCCGTCTCCCCAGGCGCCGAGCGGATGCCCAGGTCGGCGTCCAGGCGCCCAGGACGCCGAGCAGACGCCCAGCTCGGCGTCCAGCCTCCCAGGACGCCGTGTAGAAGCCCAGGACGCCCCCCGGACGCCAAGGACGGCGTCCACCTGCTCGGCGCCCATGCAGTGGCCCCCGTGCCCACTGCTGCAGGTCGGCTGCACCTCCCGCACACCCGACCACGAGACCGGCTCCGCCCAAGCGAGGACGGGGCCACACAACACTCCCGTTGACAGGGGCGATGGGCGTACTGCCACAGTAAAGGTTGCAGAAAAAGTTGGTACAAAGTTGAGTTATACGAATAAGGTCCGTGACTTTTTCACCCGAAGGAAGCTGTAGGTGAGGGATCTGGGAGTCTTTAACTCTCCTGTTGAGTCCAGCCAGAAAAGAGACTACCCCCATTTCTCTTGGTCCTTCAACTTTGATTTTAGCCTTGAGAGCAATTTTGGCAGAACGGGCGCTTGTGTAATCATTGATATTTTGAAGTTGTTGCTCGAGTCTTAGAGAGACATCTGTTGCTCCTGGAAATTTCAGAAGATGCATTTGCAATTGGCACACCTCGTCCTGCATGTGTGTAACCGTCTTCATTACACGAATACGTTCTTCGCGTGAATATCGTTTGAGTTGACGAGCGAGGGATTGTTTACAGGTATCCCACTGGCGTGGTAAGAAAGGGGAGGGTATTGAAGCTACAAAGTCGGATATCAGAGGCTGAACATGTGGTTTGTGGATAAGCTGTTGCGAGAACTACCACGGTTTAGGGGCGGCATTGGGATTGTGGAAAGAGAGTGAGCACAAAGGGCTTCTCCCGTGATCAGATAGTGAACCTTGGGCGAATGTGTAGAGGCCATGGTGACTCTATTAGACATTGAAGTAAAGATGTATGAGCGGTCAATCCGTGAGGCAGGGGGCAGGGGGGGAGGCGTTGGTGGTGCGGGGGGTGGATCCCGATGAGGCTGTGAGCCCGTCATGCGAGGATCGGGGTAGTTAAGCGTAGGGCGACTCCGGGGAATGTCGGGTTGAGTTGGGGCAAAGAATGAGTATTCTAGTGTGTTGGGATGAAGCGTACTGAATGTGTCAATGAGGTCTGCTTCTGCCAGCATGTTGCTAACAAGACCGTTCTCGGTATTTTTGTATGCATGCAGGGGCCGATTCCTGTCGAGTGGACTGAGGACGTTGTTGAAATCCTCAGTAAGCAACGTCCAGTCGCATGAGGAGGATTGTTGTAGCACTGGTTGGATTGACTCAGTCCACCAAATCTTACGTTCCAGATAGTAAGAAGGCACATAGATGGCGATTAATTTAAACTGTTCCTTCAGATAGTTACAACGGATGCTGAGAATCCTGCCATCTTCCGAGGCAGCTTTGTCAGACAGCTTAATACGGCGGTTAAAAACGAGGATAGCAATTCCGCCGGGGAAGGTTTGCGAAGGTGTAACTACTGGCGGTACTTGTGCGTATGCCGTAGGTTTAGGGTTTAATGAAGTTTGTAGAGAGTCGGGTGTCAATTAAGACCAAAATGTCCGGGAGTGTGTGCAACCAAGATTTTAATTTATCCATTTTTGCCATTGAGCATTGATGTTTAAACATTGAATTGTAATTTGTGTATTCATTTTGGAAACCAGTTTAGCCCCCTGTGTGCCCAGGCACACACATCCACAGGGTCAAAGTTTTGATATCGCGGGCAGATATGGAATATATTGTGGTGCGGAAAGAATTTGATTCTCAAACATATACAGGCAAGAACAACCCATACTAATATTGAGTATAGAACATTGAGGTACGGATTAGTGAAGGGCGACCTGTGAAACCAGAGCCTCAGCCCACCAGTAGCAACAGCGCATCGGCTGTGAGCGGAAACTGTACACAGAGTGTCGTGCCATTGGCATTGTATTACTCCTCCGCAAGGAAATTCACCAGCTTGTCGTTCTTCAGAAACACGTGTGCCTTCAGGCCGCCGTATTCCTTTTTCAGGAGCGGACCCGAGGTCACGGCGGAGATGCTGGGGGAAGTCGCAGTGAGCGAGCGTCGTATCGATGGTCCAACCGCTAGTGAATTTGCACACACAGCAAGTCCATGCCTCGACATCGCTGTCGAGGCAGATGAAGAGGAGGCCAAGATCCTGCTTGAACTTGTTGACGGCGGGCGTGTGCCCGAGAGCTTTGGCTGCCAGGAGTGAAAGAAATAATGGGGAGACAAGAAGAGAAAGGAGGTGCAACTCGGGCCGATATGCACGAGTTAATGAGGTAACCGAAAGCTAATTGAGAATGAGGTGTGTGGAATGATGGCAGCTCGTTGCTTCATTGGACAGAGCGGAGACACGAGATGAAGCAAAAAACCAATTGTATGCCCGAGGTCACATGTAACTCGAGGGTCCAAAAGAACAATATTAGCAATAAATGAGTTTGGGAGGCACAAGGAGTTACGGAGTTAAAACGATCCGTACCATTAATATTCTGCACCTGGTAAACGTAGATCGCAAACAGGTTGTTGATCTTGTTGCAACGCAGCGTCGGAAATACGTGGTGATCCCTGGTGCGGTGATTCCTCGAGTGGCAGGAGAGATTGACGAGGACCGTTCACGCACGCCAGGAATCCAGATAATCGGTGGAGTGACGCTGAACGCCGCATCCCCGGGCATGGGAACGACGATGCCGTGCATCTGCAGTTGGATTTTTTCGTAGGGATCAGATGCAGAGTGGAAGTGCTGAAGATCAGCAATCCACTTCTGCCCCTCGCGGTTCTTGCCGTTCATCAGTACCGAGTACAGCTTCTTCTCCAAGAGGCCCAGTGGGATATTACGGATGACGATATGCGTCTCGCCATAAGCCTTTGCTGCAGTGAACTCGGGGGCGGGATCGATGTAGACTTTCAGCTCGACAGCAAGGCCGTAAGTCGGGGAGAAGAAGATCGGGGGCCGAGCACGGAAATCTTCCGCCGCTTCCTTGTTGGGGAACTGCAGGATTTGCCGGGCGTAGGTGCGCTTGGCGAACTTCAGGTTTCCTCCAGCCATTGACTTGAAGGTAGGGATCTGCCAGTTCTTAAAGTCAGAACGACGAAGGTTTTTCTTGATACAAGCAACAATGTCCTTGCGATGCAGCTCAGTGAGCTGTTCAGGGAAATTCACAGCGACAAGAGAGTCAAAGTCACGTTCCATATCAACCACGGTCTCACCAACTGTGTCACGTTGAGCACACAGCCTACGATAACGCTTGCCAGTGACCAACACAGAGGGGGCGGAAGAAACTTCAGCGTTAGCCGCAGGGGCCGAAGCAGGAGCCTAGAGGATGAAGAGGAAGCGGCCTTGCACGCCTTCTTGGCCATGGGGGATCCGTCGCCAAGCAAGTCACTGAACGAGGGGGTAATCCCCGCGTTGTCTACCATCACTGCGTCAAAGGCAGACGAGTGCTCCATGGTAGGCTTAGGAACGAAGCGAACCAAGGAGAGTGTTGAGAACAGCCCAGCTTGGTGCCAACTTAAGTAAAAAGATGTTGGGTGCAAATTTACATTGCACGACATCCTGCCGTCTGTTTGTACGAGTATGCGTGTGCGAATGCATTTGGGTGTGAATGGAATGTTCGTGTGTTTGTTTGCTTTCGCAATTTTCGCTTGATGCATTTGCAGGTACTCGCGCAATGTGCGCTTCGGCACAACATTGTACGCGCTATGAACAGTGCAAGCAGAAAGGACGTGCTCGCAAAGGAACCCAAGATGGAAGCTTTGCAGTTCGGTTGAGTTGATTGCGCAGATTCAGTTCTATCCAACTCGAAATTGTACTGTTTTGTTTGGTTAACTATAGTGTAGCAGGGAAGGCACTATAGGGGTACAATTTAGGTGAAGGTTGGATGTTGTTTGTCTGTATCTGCATGCTACAAGGCCAGGGGAAACCAGCGGAACCAGCATTTGGCTGGTTAGGCAAAGACAAAACAGGTTCTGTTTTTAGAACCTGAACCTGGTTGTTGTTTTCCCAGGTTGGAAAAACAGAACCAGAGGTTGTTTACCAACCTACCACCTGCTATTTTGTCCAGCCAGGTTGGTTCTATTGCTTGGAATTATTTGGGATCATCCCTGGTTGTTCCCAGGTTGATTCCCAAGGTCCTTGCTCGCTAGAACTATTTAATCCTTCTCTGTTTGTACCTGAATATAGTCAAATTGATTCAAGCGAATTCCTTCCTCGCTGGAATTTCGTTTCTACGCGGTTCGTTGGCGGAATGCTACCCGAGTCAACGCTAGTACGCTAGCACTCTAATGCTAGGCAAACACCGTCTGAGCCATAACTTCGTAATGGCAGAACTTTTCGCGAGGCAACTTGGCTCATTTTAAAGCTCTTGGAGCGAGCTTCGATATAGCGAATTCTCAGCTTAATCCGACCGACGGTCTGCACGGCACGCTGCGCGACGTTCAAGGTACTCTTGCTGTTTTGACTAAGTCCTTCTTGATCCCTCTCTCTACAAACTCGGACCCGAGGATAGGGGCTGGTCTTGTACCAGGCACCCAGGGACCCTTGGAGGTGACCCCGAGGAGAGGTTTTAAGTTTGATTAAGTCCTAATAGCTTGAGTTTATTAGGCCCACCAACAAGCTGGTATCAGAGCTGCGTTATAGTGATCCTCGTTATAGGTAGCTATGGCGGGCAACACCTCGGCGGGAGCTGGTGAATCTTCAGCCCAAGATCGTAGCGGCAGCCAAGATTCTGGTCTTTCAGCGCCAAGGGGAGCGCGAACAAACCAGGGCTCGCTTGTCAAGGAGGTGCTGAAGAATTTCACCGTCGAGAAGTTCAATGGTGAGGGCTATGATGATTGGGCCTGGAAAATGCAATTATATTTCCGTCAGATCGGTTTGCTGAAACTAATGATTGGGGAGGAGCCTAGACCGAGTGACCCCACGCTGCAGGAAGATTGGGACGAGCGCTCCTCGGCTGGCTACTATTTGATGTCGCAGAGTTTGGAGCTGAACCAGCGTCACCACGTCATGCACCTGCTGCCGGAGGTTGAATGCGGTCCGAAGGCGTGGACCGTGTTGAAGGAGCTGCACGCCCCGACCTCCGTTGTCGCAACGTTGATGCTGGAGAGGGAGCTGTCCGCGTTGCGCCTGAGCGAGGGAGAGCCGGTGCAACCAGTCCTGGACAAGATGCGCGACCTCTACGCGAAGTTGGCGACCGCGGGAATCACCTACCCGGAGCAGACCAAGTGCTTGAAGATGCTCTCGCTGCTGCCAGAATCGTGGCTTCAATTTACGAGCGGATTGAGCCTGCCGCAGAACCAGAGCTTGTGGACGCTCGAGTGGGTGCGGACGAAGATTCTGGAGGAGGACTTCCGTCGCCGCCAACTGAGGGGTGGAGACGACGGCAGCAGCGGCTACGGGATGCAAGGGAGCCGACGTGGCAGAGGACGTGGCTTCGGTGGTGCTGGACGCGGTGCAAAGAAGGACGACGACTCCAACGACCAACAAGGAGGTACCGGTTGGGGTCGCGGTGCGAAATCTGGACGTGGGGGCAAGTCGGGTGCTGGTGGCAAAATGAAAGGGAGTTGCTGGTATTGTGAGAAGGAAGGGCACCCCTGGTTTTTGTGCTATAAGAAACCCGATGGATGGACCCCCCAGAATCGTCACCAGGATGGCGGCGCGCGGAGGAACCAGAAAAACGGCACCAACATGGTCGCTGATTCGTCCGACAACAACCCGAAGGGCAACGGCGGTGCGGAGAAGAAGAAGGAGCGCACCGCGGGCCAATTCTTCCATGTGGGAGACAAGGGGGAGCAAGGAGACGCCTCTGCCAAAGTTGGAGAAGAGCTGCACCCCCTAGACTATTGGGTGTTGGACACAGGCGCTGCTTGGACGATGACGCCGCGCAAGGACCTGCTGGACGAAGTACGAGCTGCACCGATCAATGAAGTGTGCTCCGCCTCTGGACACATGTTGAAGGTGGCTGGTGCGGGACGAGCTGCGTTTAAGGGAGCGGATGGCAAGCCGGTGGTGCTGCACGACGTTCTCTTCGTCCCCGACCTGAAGGCCAACCTTATCTCCCTCCGTAAGCTTGGCAAGGCTGGGGTGAACACCAACACGGATGGGGCACGCACTTATAAGGGGAAGCTGGGCAATCGGGTGCTTTGGGATCTGCACGAGAGCAAGGACGTGTACAGATCTATGTGGCAGCTGCCGGCCCTGGCGTGGCATGGTGGGGGGCAGGCTGGAGAGGGGTCTGCATCCCAGGGGGAGTGCAATGCCGTTGGAGGGGTTGGTGTGAAAGTGTCGGCCAGATCTGGGGAGACAGATTGGGCAACGGCACACCGGCGCTTAGGGCATGTGGCAATGCCTTTGCTGAAGCAGCTGGAGAAGGATGGAGCCGTTAAGGGTCTGAAGCTGAACGGACAGCCACCCGATGAGAACTGTGAAATCTGTTTGCTTTCAAAGTTCACCCGTTTCCCTTTCCATAGTGTGGCTGGCAGGAGCAAGAAGCCTTTGGAGCTGGTCCACATGGACTTGGTGGGGCCGCTGCCGGTGCAAGGGCACAAGGGGGAGCGGTATTTTCTTACAATTGTGGATGACTGGAGCAGGCTGATGTGGGCGTATCCGCTGAAGCAGAAGGACCACGCCGCCTCCACGATACGGGACGATTGGCTGCCATTCGTGGAGAAGCAGGCGGAGTGTGTAGTGAAGCGGATTAGGACAGACCGGGGTGGTGAGTTCCTTGGAGCTGAAATGACGGCCTGGCTCAAGAAGCAGGGCATCCAGAGAGAGCTGACCACGGCTTATACCCCACAGTCCAATGGTGTAGCAGAACGGGCAAACCGGACCATTCTGGAGACAGCTAGGGCGCTGCTCATAGAATCTGGGCTGAGCAATTCTATGTGGCCTCATGCTGTCCGGCACGCCACTGTCGCTAGGAACAGGGTGCTCACCAAGGTTGGGGATGACTCGTGGGTGCCGTTGGAGAGGTGGCTTGGGAGGAAGCCGCCGGTGGACATGCTGAGGGTGTTCGGTTGCATGGCAGTCGCCCACGTCCCCAAGACCTACCGCAGTAAGTTGGGGGCGAGTGCAATCTGGTGTGTGCATTTGGGGCTGGCTGCTGAGAGCAAGGGATGGCTGCTGTGGGAACCATCCAAGGGTGTGTTGTTTGACAGCAGGGATGTGAAATTCATTGAGGGCATGATGTATGGGAGCTGGGAGAAACAGCCGGAGGCAAGGGTATCCCAGCAGATGGAGCAGATCACCATGCAGCTGGACCTGACTCCTAGTGTGTGGGAGGAGGGAGAGGAGGCAGCTGCTGGAAATGGTGATGGAGAGAAGATACAGGAGGCATCTGCTGGTGGAGAAAATGGTGTGGAAACTGGCGGCAGCACTAGTGGAGCTGCTGGACCCGAGGGAGGAGAGAAGCAGCAGGGAAAAACTAAGAAGCCGAAGGGAGTCGTTATGAAGGGATGGGAGACACCCGTCTCCAGGCCAGGACGTACCCGTATGGCTACTAAGAAGCTGACTGCAGGAACTGATGCAGCAGAGCAGCAGCTAGGGACCGAAGAGGCATTGCTGATTCTACCTCATGGCTATGACCCGGATGAGGAGGATGAGCCTGCGTACTGTTTTCTTGCCCCTGCACCAGAGGAACCAGCTAGCATGGAGGAGGCATTAGCTGGACCAGATAGGGACAAGTGGCTGGCTTCTAGGGATGCTGAGTACCAGAGTCTGCTGGAGAATAGGACATGGGATCTGGTGGTGCTGCCTGATGGGAAGAAAGCGATACAATGCAAGTGGGTGCTGAGGATCAAGACCGATGACAAGGGGCAGGTCACCATCTACAAGAGTAGGCTGGTGGCGAAGGGGTTTATGCAGAAGGAGAAGCAGGACTTCAACGAGATCTTTGCTCCCACTGCCAAACCCCCTACCCTCCGTGTCTTGTTGGCAGATGCAGCTGTTAGTGGGAAATTCATCATTCAGATGGATATTTCAACGGCATTCCTGAATGGGATTTTAGAGGAGGATGTGTACATGACGCAGCCGCCTGGGTATGAGGATGGTACGGGCAGGGTGTGCAAGCTCAACAAGTCCATCTACGGCTTGAAGCAGGCGCCACGCTGCTGGTACCAGAAGTTGGCAGCTGTTTTAGAGGAGATAGGGTTCAGGACCAGCAGCTGTGATGAGAGCCTCTTTCTCAAGGGCGAGGGGGAGAAGCTGGTGCTGTTTCTGGTCTATGTGGACGACATTCTTCTCTTCAGCAGCAGCATGAAGGAGATCCAGAAAGTGCAGCAGCAACTGATGGAGAACTTCAAGTGCAAGAACCTTGGGGAGGTAAAGTACTACCTCGGGATGCACGTGGAGAGGGATCCTGATCACAGGTGGTTGAAGCTGCACCAGGAGAAGTTCATCAAGGAGCTGGGGGAGAAGTATGGGA